TGTATATCACTGCTACAGAACACTTTTTAGGGTAACTAAGGGCTATTTTACCTCTTAGAATATTAGCAAGTCATTAAAAAACTTTGATCTGCTCATATTCAGGAAATTTGCTTCTTGATATTTTTTTACATAATTATTATGATGTAAGAATCTGAAATCAGCTACTTCAAAAAATGGTTGGCAAATTTAATGATCGGAAATTTATATTTCAACTGTCAAGTAAAAACACAAGAAGATATGTTATAAAATATTTAACCTAATCAGATTGTCTTTCAGAGTTTGTGTTTATTTAATATGTAAGCATTTTACAACACTAAAGTACTAAGAAACCCAATAAAGGGGCTAGTGCCTTTTGTCACAATATATATAGTACATGCTTCACAAGGGATAATCTTTCACTATTAGAAAACATTAAGTTATGTACTATTCTTAATTAAGGCCCCATTTCAGTTAAAGTAAAGCAATTTGCAACTTAATTATCATAATACAAACTGCAATGTAATTAATGACAGAGTATGCATTTGCATTGGATAATGAGAGTAGTCAGCGAATAAAACTTCACACAGCAGGAAATAAACACAGGTGACAGAGTTGTACCGAATTCATCACCTTGCTGACTAATGAGAGCCAGAATGCAGATCAGTCATTCCCCAGAACATTCCTTGATACGTGCAGTAAACGCACATGCTGCAGACAGTTCTGCTAACCTAATATAACCACCAGGAGAGTGTCAGTTCAGAACAACCCACAAAGACAAACAAGTGATAAAACGGCACATAGCTAAAACGAACTCATTTATCAAGAAAGACAGAATAATTATTAGGAATGCCCAGAAGGTATGCCCTGTGATAGAAATGAATAATGGGAACAGTATCTATATTATTTGAAATTAAGCACACATTTTAGGAAACTTAAAATATAGTAAGTTTACTCTACCCGGGCTTGAATTATATATATATATATATGAAAATGGTGGGATACTTCATTTTACAAACCACAGAGGTGCTTTTTCTTCTTTAGGTTGAAAGGAAAAAATGAACATGGCCTCTTGCTAATCGTAACAAGATCAGACATCAAATTTTGACGTTTACACATTAGAGAAATTGAGTTCTACCCAAATCTAATCGGTTAAAAGGCAATCCTTTTCGTTTAGCAGAGGTGTTATGTAAGTTATGCATTGTCATTCTACTGTTGTGCTGGTGAAGCAAGCACGTCCGTCCGCCCAATCAGGTGCTGCATATACCACCATGGTGTTTGTTCTGTTTGTTCCATCAAATTACCACCTGCTATTAAATCACAATTCCGACTAATTTACAACTTAATACAGCAGCTCTTGAATGTGTTACAGATGTAGCAGAAGAGATCATTATAAAATACTTTTTTTTTTCTGAACAGATTTTGGGACAGAGTTCCTAATGTAGAATATGAGTAAATTATTTAGGTTCTCAGCTATTCTCAGTTTGCACAAGTACTGAAATCCAATTTGGCTTATTGGTGTTTTGGCTCCAAATGCATAAACCTCCCCAATTCAAAATACTGCTTGCTTTAAATTCAATTCAGTGAGATTGTATTCTCTCTCCTTGGCACAGACTATCTTACATTTGTCAATTACATAAGCAAATGTATAATATAGCATATAAAATATATATATTGTGCTTTAAGAATCATGCTGTAAATACCTAGAGGGAGAGACCATATCTGTTTTCTTTTTTAATAAAATGAGGAGAAGAGGGCAATCTTCCCAGGACCTGACATAAAACCTTCACCAGAGCAAGGTCTCAAATACATGCTTATTTATTCATTTTTTACAAAGAAAAGTAAAGAAACCAATTATCTTTAGGCAATAACCTGAATGCTAGAGAGATGTGAATAGATAATACCAACAGGTTCACAGTTTTGTGAACAGACAGTTGTTGGCAAAGAGCAGCATCCGTAACTATTTTCAGAATTGAGAGGGAAGAGCCGAATTATATTATAGATGGCATATTCTGTGCCTCTCCCATCATTATTATTGCCAAGAGTTTCAAAGCCAGTCAACAGTGAACACACAGCTATTCTAAACAGCATCCTCAAGCACTTTTTTCCTCTTGGGCATACACTCCCTTATTCTGGGAGAGTAATTAAGAAAATGTGCTTGTGCCAGACATGTTTTTTCTTCTCTTCTTTGAAGCTTCTCCTGGTGACAGCTTTCAAAAACATAGCAAAGAGGCTCCATGGTAGCTGTCCCTTATCCCCTGGCCCAAACTGTAAACATACACAGATTCGGATAAAACAGCATATATGTCTAGGTTGACATCAAAAGTGTATCCTGAAATGTAATTATTGCAGATAAATATGAAATGTTTTCTTCCAAATCAGCGTCACAGCTGGAAGGCGAGGGGACTCAATGGGTGGATTTGGTTGGGCAAAGGGATTGGAGGAATTTTAGTGAAATGATATTACTAATAATTTTGCCAAGGCTTATTGTGTACATCTGGGCAAGTCACTGCTATTTAGTAAGTGGAATTGAGAGTGGATAAAATCTATAATAAAAAATTCATACAGGATGCCAGGAAGAAATTAAAAGTTTGCCTATCAGCTGTCAAACAGTTACCTGATTTCCTCTAGTTTAACTTGAAAACATTAGACAACACATAAGTGAAATGGCACATTATTTTTCACCACATCCAATTTTTCTATAATCTTTGAAATTGAATAATAACATCCATATAAAACACTGTAAATGCAAAATAAGGTGTTAAGAAAAACTTGAATGCCCCATTTAATGAATTTTCAAGAAGCACAGATAGGAAAGATCGTAGAAGATTCAGTATTTAATAGTTTCTAGAAGCATTCCTTTATGCACCAAAAAATATCTCCACTGTACACTAAGGACAGATTTCCTAAGGAAAAATCCTCTAGCTGTTAGGAATAAACACTAAGTAAAGTTAAGTATGCTTTAAAATAATCCAATTTCTTATGCTTATTTCAAGAGAGGCTAGAACTAATTAAATGATATCAGCACCTTACAATAATTGACTGATTTTTGCAAAGATATAGGCCCACATGTCTCTCTATTAGCTTTAGTAGCCTTTTATCTAATTTCATTACCTTCCAGGAAACAACAAGAACTATTTCTGTGAAATCCTAGGGTAGAGGGTTGGAGTGATCAATCACTCCAGTCTTTTAAACCTGGGGTCCTTGGGTCGTAAGTAAGGCACGGTTTTGCTTTTGGAAACTGTAAAAATATGTGTACTCAGGAATATGCAGTTTTTGAGGAGAGGGCCATGTTTCAGCAGAATTTCAAAGTGGCCTGTGAACCTGAAAATTTTCACAAAAGAACAAATAAAGTAGCCTAACTTCCAGTTTACAAATAAGCCTGGAGAGTGGAAATGATTGCTCTGAAGACAAACCTACAGCACCTATAAAATACCTAGAACCAGGTCTCTTGATAACCAATTAGCTCAGTGTACTGTTCTGCCCCTATCATTTTTCTCAGAACTACCAGGTAGGGGAAAATGTGTTAAATGTGCACAGTGTGTTTGTAACCAGATCTTACTTCAGGGAATACAGTAGTTTCTAGGTCAGAATAGTGTCTATAAATCCAAAGGCTGAAGATGTGGAAGGTAATATAGGTGGTCTACGTGAGTTAAAAAAAAACTCCAATAAATGCCATGCTGCCTCTAAGCCAAGCTCATTGCCACAGCCTTGAGACCTGTGGCAGCATATGCTTTGGTCTTCAAGATCAAAGAGAAAGAAAGCCTTCGGCCCCTTAAATGGGGACACAGATCCTGAGATATCACATGTACTAGAGAACTACCTCATTTATTAACATGGGCCAGCCATGTGGTCTCTTCGCACCTCACTGCCTCAGCATCACTGCCCCTGGACGCCCCCTTCCCCGACGATGATAGACATAATCATTTCAAGGCATACATATATAACACACAAATGAAAATACTGCATGACATTTAACTGATGATTTTTCATAATTAATTTTAGGAAAGAATGTCATAAAGTAAATTATGAAGAAGAAATCTCTATTAATCCTGCCAAACCACCCTGTACAGTTTCTTGGCATTTATAAAATAAGAAAGCTGTTTAATTAATGCCTGTATATCATGTGTGCATAAACATCAAAGTACATATTCTAGTCCTACCATTTATATATAGCATGGTATCAGGCAAATGACTTAATCTGTCTGTGACTCGAGTTCCTTGTTATTAAAATGGAGATAACATCAGTACTGACATTATGGGATTGTTGTGAGCATTAAATGTGGTAGTATGTACAAAATGTCTATAACAAAGCTTTATATTTTATGATTTTATAAACAGTTCTCATCATCATTATCATTACCTTTCTTATCATTACTAAGAGGCACATATGTGATTAATTACTTATGGGGAAGAAGGAGTTAAGAAGAAAGCTTAAGATAAAATTGTTTATTAACGAAATGCTCAAGCTATCGTGAAAATTCAAGCTATTCCCTGGGAGAACACCAGGCAGTCTTCAGCCCAGGCTTTTCTTGGGGCCATATTCCCATGGACTTGTCACACCAGTGTTCTCCACCCAAGTGCGATGCGAGGGTTGGTTTGATCTGGGTCAGTGGAGCAGGTCCCCTCCCTCCTGTACCTGTGGGTGGGGCAGCCTCAGGTGCTCCCAGTCTCATTGCATGGGAGATCTGATTAGTCCAAGTGTCCTACCTCTCAAATGTTTTCATGACAGTTTTAAAGATAATGGGGTGCTCTTGGAATCTATGGAGACAGTTTTTCGGATGCAATGCCACCATGAGAATGAAAACCTCAAATCATGCCTGGCTTGGATGACTCTGTTGGGGTCATGCTATCCCATGACAAGGACCCATCTGAGGCCATGGAACACTGACAAATTAGTAACTTCCAACACAAGGACAGATGCCAAGACTCCCAATGATGGAAGAGGCTGACATCATACAAGTAATTATCCATCCACTGTCTATTTCAACTTAAAATATGTTGTCAAAAATGAAGAGTTTTACCTTTTTAAATTCAGCAATGCCCAAGGTATTCCAGAGGGAGTATGAAATGCTGGTAGCAATTTTACCCCAAGTTCCACTGCTTTCTCTCGAAATATCTGAAAAGTTAAAGAGTCAAATAAGCTACGGTTGTAAGCAAAACAAAATGCACTATACTGCTATCTCTCATCTAGCACTTTTCTACTTTAAAATTTTCTACATACGAAAAAAATTAAAATTTTCTGAAATTAAAAGAATTCCCAAATAAATATAATTATCTAGGAAAGCTAGAATGGTCCAAGGGCCATGTGTGCTGTAGGACATTTATTCCAATTTTGCTTGCACATTAGAATCACATGGGAGTTTTAAATAATATGGATGTCTGGATTGCACTCCTGAGATTCTGGTTTGGAGCTTCCAGATCAGAATAGTTTAAAGCATCACAGGTGATGTCAGGTGATCCTAATGTGCAAGCCAGGAGGAGAACCACTGTTACTGGTGGATAAGTAGTGGACTAAAAATCAGGATATCTGGTCCTTTTCTCTCCTCACGTATTTATGAGATCACAGTGAAAGAAGACCAGGGGGATGGAGGTAGTAAAGGTTAAGGGGACCCAATATATGGTGACGGAAGGTGATCTGACTTTGAGTGGTGGGAACACAATGCAATATACAGATGATGTATCATAGAAATGTACATTTGAAACCTATGTGATCTTATTAATCAATGTCACTCCAATAAAATTAATAAAAAAAATAAAAATAACACCCACAAAAAATAGTTATAAAAAGACATATTATTATAAGTAATCGATATGTCTGTCCTCTTAGCCTTCGACAGTTTGAATTTCCTCTAATGGCAAGTGTAAGTGAAAGATACAAAGTTAAATTAGGTACAGATTCTACCCAGGATTTGGTAAAGAAGATAATAGATGCAAAATACATATCTAGAACACAGATACACGGGAGCTGGAGATAAAATTGTCTAGGAGTTCAGAAGGCTGAACTCCATGAAGGTTGTATGCAGCACGCACGCGGGGCTAATAATGCCAGAGACTGGGGTGAGGATGGGAAGTGGAGGGGGCATCCCTGAAGGCATTGGTCTAAACACAGGCAGAGGTGAGTGGGGACCTGCAGGAGAAATGGAACAGGCCAGTAAAGGGGAATGCTGCTAATAAGGTCAGGCACACACAGACAGCGTTGGCCTGAACTATGGAAGGTCATAAGTGAAAGGCTAGGAATTTTATTCTGTTAAAATGGAAAAATATTGACAGTTTTTGAGCAGCCAATTCGCTGGAGAAAATCATGCTTTAGGAAGATTAACTGGTTGACATCCACTCGTAGTTCTGGTCCAAAGAAAAGCACAGAGTTAATTTACTCGTTGGAGGAAGCACTGCTCCAGCTGTGGCAGCAGGCAGGTGCCTTCCCCCTTCTCCTGGTCACATGGTGTGCTGAGCGTGGGAGGCTGGGAACTACACACTTTCCTTTTGCCTCTTTTTTCAAACAAGGGAGATTCGAGAAAGGCTGGGGGAGCCCTGAAAAGCATGGAGAATAGAAGCAAGTCCTCTCCCAGCCAATGGGAAAGCATGAATGAAAGCACTGTCAAAGCAGCCAGTATGGCCTGGCCGGCGTGGCTCAGTGGTTGAGCATCGGCCTATGAACCAGGAGGCCACGGTTAGATTCCCGGTCAGGGCATATGCCTGATTTGCAGGCTCAGTCCCTAGCCGGGGAGGGGGTGGGGAGGGTACAGGAGGCAGCTGATCAGTGATTCTCTCTCATCATTGATGTTTCTCTCTCTCCCTCTCCCTTCCTCTCTGAAATCAATAAAAATATATATTTAAGTAAATAATAATAAAGCAGTCAGTGTGGCTTCTCCAGAGGGTGGGTTCCAGTCCACAGCGCCTGCTCCAAGACCTGAGTCTCATCACACAGAAACCTGGGCACATGAGTTCCCACACGGAAGACTACCCCATAACACCAATGTTGGCTTTATTTCTGAGACCCTAATCTTTTGGAATCCCACTCTCATTTAGTAATAAAAATTAAGAAAGTAGTGTGTTTAATGTAAAACTCTGATTGGCAATCGATTTAGATAAACTAATATTTCTGGAGTCCAGGCACTTGAAGTATATAGAAATAGCTAAAAAAAATAGAGGTACCATGTTTCCCCTCCACAAATTATTACAACTCTCTTTAAGGAGATAATTTCCTATTCCAACAACTAACAGTGGATGGAAAGAGAGGAGAGAGAAAAAAAAAGACCAAAGGGTATATTCTTCCTCCTTTCTCTGCCTTACCCTAGAGCAGTGGTTCTCAACCTTCCTAATGCCGCGACCCTTTAATACAGTTCCTCATATTGTGGTGACCCTCAACCATAAAATTATTTTCATTGCTACTTCATAACTGTAATTTTGCTACTGTTATGAATCGTAATGTAAATATCTGATATGCAGGATGTATTTTCATTGTTACAAATTGAACATAATTAAAGCACAGTGATTAATCATAAAAACAATATGTAATTATATATGTGTTTTCCGATGGTCTTAGGCGACCCCTGTGAAAGAGTCGTTCGACCCCCAAAGGGGTCGTGACCCACAGGTTGAGAACCGCTGCCCTAGAGAATTCCAAGTTCTCTTCTGCTGTGTGGGATTACCCAATTACTGCCCTGCCATCTCTTGACTTTCTAGTTTCAACCCAATTTCTTAAAACTGTAAATTAACTCTTTTTCAAGAAACTTATAAGAGATAAAAGTCAAACTATGCAGTTAAAACACCATCGTTAATAGTATAGTCTTATGGCAGGTAAGTTAAGGGTTCAGGCTTTAAAAACATTCTCCAAATTGGGTAATCTTGGACAAATTACTTAATCTCCCTGTACCTAAATTTCCTCATTTTAAAATGGGAATAACAACAGCATTTACTATTTTAAAGGTTGTGGAAAGAAATGAACACATTATTACATTTAAAGATCTTACAATACATAGCAACTACTCTAAAAGGCTACTTGTAGTTTTCATAGTGATGATAATAACGGTATTTCCCCAAGAACTTTCCTTATTTAACCGCTTGAAATTTTTTCTGGTCTTGGCCTTTACCCAACTGCTGTTTTCGTACTTTCTACTCAAGCTCTGTGAGTGTGTGCACCCTCCCCCAATACATACACTCTTAATCATAAGCATTCATTCTCAAGAACTCAGTTCTTATCACCTGCTGGAATTCCTAAATTCACCTTCCCAGTTTAGCTTTAGTTCTGTACTTCTATTTCTGTGCTCACATCACAGTTTGGGTGTCTTGTCTCCTGACACTTAACATGTCCAAGATGAAATCAATCATTTAATGTCCCAGGCAAACTTCCCCAGTTCCATCACTGACATGGACAGTGAGTCCCTGGGGCTTGAGAGTGCAGGCATTTTGACTTTAGATTTATTGCTCTTCAGTCCCTGAAATGTCTCATATATAGCTCATTCCCTTTCCATGATATGAGCATAATCCATATTTTCATCGCTGGGTACAATGAAATGGCATGATGGAAAAGAAGGCCCTCCAATCAAGTCTACCACTTTCTCTTTTTAGTATCCAATGTTCAAGAAACCATACTGATTCCCTCTGTTGTCTAAAATATCAGGTCAAAACTGATCTACTGACCTTTCAATGACCTCCATTAATCTATTATCTTCTGTTCTCTCAAAGACCAGTCTGACTCTAGCTTGAGTCTCATGGTCTCAAGCACTCACTCAAGTTCAGTCCATTCTATTATCTGTCTTTTAATGTTCCCCAGCTTTATAATTACTGAGATATAATTGACATACAACATTGTGTACAATATGGTTTGATATATATAGAAATGATTACCACAATAAGGTTATTTAACACCTCCACCCTTGTTTTTATTGGTGATGCCACCTTACCACCTTTAGTATATTTATTTACACAATTCTTTCATCCTGAAACTCCCTTTTCTGCCTCCTTCTGGCCCATACAAATTCACCTATTATTCAAGGCCAAGGCCAAGATCTTTTCCTTCTGTGAACACCTACAATGCAGCTTTTGATTTAAGAAAGCAAGATATATTCCTTCCTTCTTTTATTCCCATGTAATTTTCTTTCTAAAAGTAGAGAAAAAATCCTCAGTTTCTTCGTCGCTGCCTATTATACATGTCCACCGCAGACTAGGTCATTTTGTTTTTAAAGGTATTGATATCACAGTATTTCTGTGAGTAGCATGGGGGAAATTATTTATATTCTCAGTTAACAGGAAACAATGGCACTTCCTGTCTCAAGGTTTTTGTCTTTACTGGTTCCTTTGGCTGCGATGCTCTTTCTCTCCACTTTCCTGTTTTGTTCTTAACTTCAGTGATCCCTTTAAATAGTCCCTTTTTAAGAGAGGTCTTTTTCAATAACTCCCCATAAAGTTGGCCATTTTCACTTATTATTTATCATATCATCTTTTTAATTTCCATTTCATATGGAAGCTTCCAAAGCATGGACTTCGCCTTATTTGGTAGTGGTGGTGGTGTATGTAGCATCTAGCAAAGTAACCGGTGCTCAATAATAAATGTTCATTTAATAAATAGACATACCTGGGACACTCTAATGAGAAACCACTGATATTCCAGTGTTTGCAAATCACTCCATCCCATTCCACTGGTTTCTACTATCTGCAAATAATTATGTCACATATTCCGGAGTCTTGGGCACAATTACAAAAGAGTTTTGGATTCTAACATTAAACTATTGATGCTTTCAATGACATTATATGTGAGCAGGAATCAGTTCCAATTCTTTATGATTGATTTACCTTCTCCTGAGATATGAAGAGAGGTTACTTGGAGGAGGAATCTAGATTCTCAAAGAGAACATCTTTCTAGTTAACATGGCCAGAAGGTAATAAAATTCCAAACTAGCTTATCAAGTTAATATTATTAAAAGAATAAAGAAGAAATGCCACAAATCATTCTAAAGGGCAGTTAAATTTTAACTAGCACATCTTGGATAATGTGCTGGAAAGCAAATGATCACAAGAAGTACACTAAATGGTACTTCAGCACTCCTTCAAATGGGCAGGCATGATGGACAGAGCGCGGAGCCCCAGCCAGCATGTGCTGCTAGGACCGGCTCT